ATGTACAACTTTGACGATGACAGTTACTTCCTGACCTTAAGCTATAGTATATACAAATATTTTACATGCACACTAGCGCCATATACCGAAAATATTCTGAACTATTTACTGTTCACCAGCAAAAAAGCTTTGATCTCCTAAACAACTTTGCTGAAGACAGTAATTTTCTAGCTGTTCGGGATCTCGAGCTGTAGCATATATGAGGACTGCACGTGTATACTAGCGCAGCGCAGTAAGAAAATTCTGAACTACTGTTAACCAGCCAAAAGATCTTGACCTCCTGAACCACTTTGCCGAAGACGAACTTTTTATTTGGTCAGGATCTCGAGATATTTTACAGGTAAAAATCTCACGTGTATACTAGCGCCGAGTAGTGAGAAAATTCTGAAACATTGTGCATCAAAAAATAGACTTTAACCTCCTGAACAACTTTGGTCAAGACAGTAACTTTGTATCTGGTCAGGATCTCGAGATATATCACAGGCGAGAATTTCACAACTGTCCACGAGCAAAAATTTGTGATATCCTGAACAACTTTGCCGACGACAGTAATTTTCTATCTGGTCAAGAACTTGAGATATGTTATATGCGAGAATTTCACATGTATACTAGCACCATGAAATGAAAAAAAAAATCTGAACTACTGTCCACCAGCCAAAAGACCTTGACCTCCTGAACAACTTTTTCGTAGACAGTACTTTTCTATCTGATCAGGATCTCGAGATATCGCATATACGAGAAGTGTACATGTATACTAACGCCACTACTGTTTACCAGCCAAAAAACTTTGTCGCAGACAGCAACTGTCTAGCTGATCAAGATCTCGAGCTAATGAGCTTGAGCTTGAGCTTGTGCTTGAGCTTGATTGACCGCCCACGGTTGCTACTCTGTTACTGCCAGATCAGCTGTAATTACACAGAGAACCAATAGACGATGCTTGGGACTAGCAATCATCCTCAATGTGTAAAAACTGGTGATCTTAAATTAGGCAATACCAGCGCCGGCCGCGCCCGAACACAGGTCAAGAAAGGAATGGGAAGGATTGTGTTGACATGACACTCGCTTTGATGGAAGCCGAGAACACCTCTGCACTTCCACGAGTAATCACTGGGATGTTGGATAAGAGGGTTGGGTTTGCAACAGAGTTCGTTTTGGTAAACGATAAGCTGAATTGATGTCCTAACGATCATATAACGCGAAGGAGCTTGGGACTAAACCCACGGTCTTCTGCTCAGTAAGCAAAAACGTTTGCCACCAGGCAGACGAGCACCTTTTTAATCACCGAGTTGCTGTTTTTACCATGTAGTACTATTAACAAATAAAACGATTGACGAATCTTGAATGTGGATGGGCCTGAGATTAGACTCATGATGTTCTGCTCAGTAAGCAAAAAAGGTTGCTCTAAGGCCACCGAGCCCATCATATCACATAATACCGTTGCTCAAATTTGTGTATCCATTCAAACCCGGAACCAACGACAACAAATAGTTTCCATAAATCTATTTGATATGTAAGGATCTGGGACCGCGTTTTTCTGCTCAGTAAGCAGGCCACTGTAACCGACGATCTTTCAAATCCGAAAACTAAAAACTACGAAAAAGTACTTAGGCCTTCATTAAGTTCCACTTTCACGCGACGTTCAATGACAGGGTCCTATCCAGGATTACATCTGAAATATCCAAATCTGGCCAACGCCCACCCTAAACCTAAACCTGTTCTAATCCACCTGAAATCACTAACGAATGGAAGACTTTGACTACCCAGCCATGCAATAGTCTCATTCCGTGCCTTATGGCAACTTGATGATTCTATTGCGCTCATCTTTTGGCACCACCCAGGGGAGACTTGGTCCTGTACCCAATGCTTAACTTATCTCCATTCCACTCAGCTACTCGCAATTTCTTGTGATATAGTGGGCGGAATATTATTATATGAGACAATTCAATGCAGACGTCTTTCCAAATTTGGCAGATCGACAGGTAATCGGTGAGTTACCACGATAGTTGCTATTCAACAACTCGACAACGTCCCATCGTCAACGCCTGCTATGAGAATTTCCCTTTGCAGACGCCAACGAAATGACGTCATCGAGCTATCGATCAACTACCCTGGTTATCGCCTGGTACCTTATAGCACGATGCTAGGAGGCGAACCGGAAGAATCGATGAGCTACCTCCCCCGATCAAGACCTCGAGCTAATGAATATGCGAGAAAGGCACGTATTTCAGCGGTGCATAGTGAGATAATTCTTAACTATTGTCACCCAACAAAAAGATCTTGACTTCCTGAAAAACTTTGTCGAATACATTTACTTTCTATCTGGTCAGGATCTAGAGATATTTTATATGCAAGAGTTTCACATGTACAGTAGCGCCACAAAGTGACAAAACTTTGAACTACTGTTCACCTGCCAAAAAGCCTTGACATCCTGAACAACTTTGCCGAAGACAGTACCTTTCTATCTGGTTGGATACTCGATATATTTTATATGAGAATTTCACGTGTATACTAGCGTCGCGTAGTGAGTAAATTCTGAACTATTGAGCACCGAGCAATAGGCTTTGACTTCCTGAAAAACTTTGTGAAAGACAGTAACTTTCTATGTGGTCAGGATCTCGAGATGTATCACATGCGAGAATTTCACATGTATACTAGCGCTACGTAGTGAGAAAATTCTGAACTACTGTCCGCCAGCGAGAAAGCTATGATCTCCTGAACAACTTTGTCGGAGACAGTAACTTTTTATCGGGTCAGAATCTCGATGTATTCCATGTTGTAATCAATTAAGTCCAATCCCACGTAGTATGGTAACAGTTTACGCGGTTTCCATTTACATTGTCCCTATTATCCGCATTTTGTAGGTGTTTACTGTAATCAATGTTTAGCTTGTTAAGATTAAAACAAGTTTTTTGAGGATCAGCTTGATTGGTAACTCAGCAACAAAATGGCAATGGAAAACAACAGCGCGAGTAACGGAGGGTTAAATCCATCACCAGCTCTCAGGGTGGCAAAGGCCATCATAAACAGTAAATTGTTATACAGTGCCGAGATCATCTGTCGAGCGGCTGTCACGACAATTGACAAGCTGAGCGCCACATACAACCGCACCATTCTAACGGTCTCAGGGCTCCTTCCATGCATCCCAGCGCCCACGGCCTGCATTGAAGCTGGCGTTCTACCCTTCAAACACATCTTCATCGTGGCGGTCTCTTTCAGAGCACTGAACTTTTTGGAGAGAACAGAAGGTAGTGATCAGTGAGTCTTCCTACTTGATGAGGCCAATAAACTGCTGCACTCCCTGACCCAGCAGGAACTTCCCAAGGTATCAACAATTCATCGTATTGGGGACGAAGCATGGGACGCCGCCCCTCCGCGTATTATATGGAAATTAAAGGACATCCGGAAGAAAGATCCTGGTACAATCTCGACTGTACAACGTTTCAGTGAGCTAGTATCTACAAAACTCAGAGGCTACCAGCTAGTCTGCACGGACGGCTCGAAGGCTAGCGGTAAGGTGGGGATCGGGGTCTCCGGTCCACAGCTTAACTTCCATAAAGGCTTCCAGATATGACTTCCATCTTCTCTGCCGAAGCGGCAGCGATCTATCCGGCCATCACGGAAGTAGATTCTACACGGAAAGCCATCGTCACTGATTCTGCCAGCGTGCTTAAAGCTTTGGAAGCGCAAAGGGTCATCCGTGGGTTCAGGAAATCCGCAACGTAGCAAAGCAAAATACAATTTTCGTTTCCGTGGAAACGAACGGGCCGACAGTCTAGCGGCAATTCGAAAGGACTCGCTGCTACAGATGAGATACCAGCACCAGACATTAAAAACTGGGTCAACTGAGCAGTAAGGAATGCGTGGTGGATTTAATGGAACCAAGAAACACGGGCTTTCCTGAGGAAAACAAAAGGAGAAAGGCAAATGGGTCGATGTCATGAGCTGGCGAGATCAGAGAGTTGCAAAAATGAACTTACAAAACAACACCCAAAAGCGACGACAATTCACAAGATCCCCGATGAGAAACCTAATAGCAACTACTAAACAACGACAACACGGCACACAAAATGATCTGAGACAACCCGGCACGAAATGCGAACAGAGACGGTAACGAAATGGTAACCACAACAGGTAAATCCCCCTCCTTCCCTCCACCAACCGATAAAGACCCAGCAACGAAAAGGTACGCGACCTTAAAATCCAAAACGCACAGCAGTGATTAGTTAGAGACAATACAAATAAAGCAAAAAAATATATTGTAGAACTCATCATTTCCATAATCTTTGTTATAGGAATTTGCTAGCATGTCATTTCGACATGCGAGAAACTGAAATAATTTGTAAAACGTTCTCACTGAATTGAATCGAAAATCAATGAGTGACTTGTTTTTGGCTCAGATTCCACCCATTTGGATTGTTTTTATCTACTAAAACAAATTATTTAAGCTGGAATTGATTTGGTCTATCTAGCTACCTGTGAGTGTACTTGAAAGAGACTTAGTAATTAGCCACAGCATATTCACCTGTAAAATTTCACTCGATTCTGCGATCAACGAAGCACGTCGCTATCGTCAATCCAATAAATTCAACAACAAAAATCATGGAAAGAACGATAAATACGCAATACATTTACTAAATCCTTACTCAAGGTTAATTCTGTTCAACTTGCAGCACATTTCTCGTTGCTTAGAACGGAATGAATAGTTTTGAATATTTTTAGTTTTGGAACATGTGTCAATATCATTTATGTGAAATATGAAAACTGTTGAAATCTGTGAAACAAGATTATTTTCCTGGTGAAAATAAAATCCCGATGTTTTCACGGTTATGATGACTTGTCACCTTGAAGTTTGAGTGAACGAAACTCAAATTTGAGTTGGTTTAATCGGCCGTGTGTTGCTTGTTCTGACTCCTTCAGTCCCTCCTCTGGCAGAACAAAAAATGTGGCGCTTGCTTCGGGAGATTCGGATAGTTTTAGACATCCAATCGGAGCCGGCTGACTTCAATTAAGTTGTCTATTATCGATCGATTCGACCATTCCTTCATAGACCGAGGAAACGGTAAATATATACTATTCATAGTGTATACTAAGTCTAGTTGAACTTACGCTTACGGTTGCTGCTGCAGCAGATAAGCACTATCCGATAGTAATGCTTATTCCAATGCAGTACACTCGCGATTGTTTGTATGCTGCTTTCGATTTAATTATTCGAGTTCGACTATCCCTACTTAGAAAAAATTGCAAACAATCATCGGAAAGTTAAGGAATTGCGTTTGATTTAACTGCGTAGCGATAAATAAATATAATGTTATCATAGCATCCATCCTATTACGTTCAAGTTTATTCAACCAATCAAATAAATTGCTTATTATTGTCGCCTCACTCAAACGCTATCGACTGATAAAAAAATCCAAACTAATAAGGGAATAATGATAATGGAATAGTGCTCATTTCGCGATTAAAATACCGTCGCTCTTTCTCCTACGAGAAGACACATAGTTAAAAACAAACGTCGTCGTTTAGTTCAGTTCTTAAATAATAAAGAAAAAACAAACTAACCTCTCTCTCTGTTTCGAGCATCAATCGCTTCGCGATTTCAGTTTTGTGATCTAGGACGGATGGGACTCTTCCTCTACCTACTATAGGCACCTACCCCTTACTTCTTCTTTTTGCCCTTTCGTTTTTTCCTCTTCGACCCGCCATTTCCATTGGTACCAGCAATGGGAATGCCACTCGGTTTCTCCTGACTTGCACCGTTGTTCTTCCGTTCTCCACCACTTACCTCACCGAGCGAACTGCCTGCCACTTCTTCGTCCTCCTCATCATCTTCGTCGTCGCAGAACACGGCCTTCAGCTTCTCGTCATGCAGGGTCATCTTCTGCAGTTTGCTCAGACTGTGCATCTTTTCGAGCTCCTCTTCGAAAGCTTGCGCCGCAGGATTCTGTATCACTTCACACCCATCGTAATAGTCCAGCCGTTGGTGTTGCTGCTGCTGCTGCTGCCCCTGATTTTGTTCTTCTGCCAACTCGGTTTGATGCGTGTAGAAATCATTGATCAAGCGCTCCCGCACCATAAACACCGTCCCGATTGCACCGGTTTTCTCCTCGTAGTGGCGGAACTCTTCATCCTCTTCGTCCTCCGGCTGGTGGAAAAAAGTTTTCAATTCAATAATGGCATGCTTGCGTTACATAATAATATAATAACTCACATGTACTCCTTGCTGATGCTCCTCCTGATGAAGCTGATACTCATGTACCTCATCGTCCTCCTCATCCTCGTCCTGTTCCGCCAGCTCTTCCTCAGTCATGCTCTTGGAAAGATTCAGTCTCACCTTCTCGTTCTGTTTCAGCTCCCGCAGTACGTTCTTCATCTTGTCGTTGATCGATTCGTACCGACCTTCCTCGTACGAAAAACGTGTCCCGTACGTCGACGGTGACGAGGCAGACGCGAACGAATCATCCGCACAGTCATCGTTGTACCGTCCGATGATGATATCGTTGATCTGTCCGTCTCCGCCGCTGACGGCAGGGTTGACCACCTCCACAATCGTCTGCAGCGGGTTGACTTCCTCCGGTTCCGGATCACTATCGCAATCGTCGTCCTCGTGGGGGTGCTGAGGAGCGGGAACCCCGTCGGGGTGGTCGTCATCGTCGTCCTCCAAGGAAACATCCGCCGCTTCCGTTGCATCATCGTAGTCAGGAGACTGCAGTTGCTGCTGAGCGGGTTGCTGTTGCCGTTCGTTGCTGCTTCCCGACGAGGGTTCTTCCAGTTCGAGCATGATGATTTTCTCGCGCATGGTTTCCACCTAAAAGGGGGGAGGTAGGGGAAATGAGGCATTGAGAAAGATGCGGAAAGGAAAGGGTTTTTTGACGAAACCCAAATTCAACGTGCTGGGACATGCAGTTTTCTAGGAAAAGCTTCAGCAACAAAATGGCAACTAGTTGCATTTTAGTAAGCGGTGATCGTCTGCTTGCTTGTTATAATCTCCATATATTTAGACAGTGAAAGGTTAAATTGTTAGAATATCTATTTTAATACTGTTGGCTGCATGCGTGATGAGGTTAGTCGACATAATTTGTTCAAATTTTGGTGAATGTGCTGCTGGTGTGCAATTGCAATGTCTGACTGAGCTGGATTATTAACGGATTATTTCACACTGAGATTATGATGAAATCATAGATCAACCTTCTATCAAAAATTAACCCTCTTCTCCCCATGATAGAAAGAAAGGAATGCATTTTAAAATACAAACATTTAATTTTACTAATCAATTCCATTCACACATTGAACTTAGATCCAGAGTGGATTGATTTTCAGTATCAAATAAATTGAAATAAATCAGAGGATGGACATGTTTTTCTTTTGGTTCAGGGATATGCGCATTTCCCACAAATGTGAAATTTGAACACGTTTTTGACATTCTGAACTTAAAAGTTACAATACTTCCAAGAAATTTTCAAGAATTCGTTGCTCAGTTTTGAAGGCTCTTGGAATTTTATATAATTTCTAAAGACCTAATTTCATGGAGTTCTGGTAAAACATTTTTGAGAGAAACATCAAGTGTAATCTGTATTCAAGGTAGTTCTGAGAAATTTTAGAGTTTCATGGGGAGCCTGAGATAGTTCTGAGTAGAATTTCAAGAAAACCCTGAATTGTATTCAAAGTAAATTTTAATGAAAACTCAAAGGAATTTCCGAGGGGAACGTCACATCTAAATCTCAATTCTAGATGCCCATCGATGCCCATACTTGCATCGTACCTCATCTTTGTGCAGGAAATCTTCAGAACCTACTCAGCGTGCGCGCAGTCAACAGCAGCAAAACAAAATCTTTCCTGCATCGTAGATAGAGTCGCCACCCTCGGGATTTTCGGAGGAATAGAACTCCTGTGAACATCAGAGGAAAATTTCAAGTGCATTCTGTGGATAATTTCACGAAGTTTGTGGGAGAAAACGAATCCGGAGTACAAGTCCTTGGTTTTTTTTTTGAGAATGTTAAAAAACAGGATTTCATTTAAATCTGAGAATAACTCCAGGACATCTTCAATGAAATTCGGAAAGCAATTCCAGAAGAGTTTGCCAAACAAATTATGAGGAGAAATCTAAGAAATGTGTGAGGAGAAATGTAAATGAATTCTTAGGAGACTTTCAATGTGAGTAGATTTCCAAGGGAAGGAGTGAGATTCAAAAGGAAATCTGAAATGAACTCAGTGAAATTTCTGAGAATCTTTCCAAAGGGTTTCTTACTGAGGAGAATTTCAATGGAATTGCGAGAATTATTCTAAGTGTATTCTGGTGATATTTTTTAGAGAATTTAGAGAAGCGTTCCAATCGAATTTCTAGAATAATTCAATTTAAGAGAATACAAAGCAAATGCTGAGGAGAAATCCACGTGAATTTCCATGACAAATCTTCGTTGAATATGGAATGGACTATTCTGAGGTCTTCAGAACTACTTGAAAGATCCCAAAGATTTTCCTGAAGTTAATTAAACTGCCTGGAAGTTCGTTTGTACTTCGTTTGTTCGAACTTTTTAAAGTTTCATAAATTTTCCTAACGATCATGGACCCTCTCTACAGTTTAGACAATTCGCTAAAGTTCTCGAAGCTTCTTTAAATCTATGTTGTTTCTCTAATGTCAACGGAACTGCTCCGAAGTTCTCTGTTCTTTCCTTAAGTTCTCATATGGAGGCGAACCAGCCCAAGGCTGAAAGCCTCATTATAACTTTATTAATAATAATAATAAGTTCTCAAAACTTTTCTAAAGTTTTTATGAAGCTTGTTGTACTGCCTTGAATCTAATCTAATCTAACACCAACACAGCCAGTTCTTGAAAGCATCCTGGGAAATGATTAATATACCTCCATCATTTTTCTTGTCCATTTGATATATGTTTCACATCAAAGATCTTCGTCTTTTTCTTCTTCTTCTTCTTATTCTTCTTCTTCTTCTTTTTATTCGGATTTAAAGCTTATTACTTATCGCATATTAGCTTATTGCGGGTTCCAGCATGGTCTTGCTTTGCAGCTGCGCCTATACCGATTGAGCTAAGGGAGATGCATCACACATAACATTAATTTAACTGTCCTTAAAATGTTTAAGCTTCCATGAACTTCTGACCTTATGTGAAGACCTCAATAATGAAAATCAGGGAACTATTTAAAATCTCCCGCTATTTTTCTGAAACTAATAGAACTCAACTCCCCCTAGTTTTGGAGTGTACAAAACTTCTTTGAAATGCTCCCGCTTTTTTCTAATGTTCATTAAGTTTCCTGACGTTTACGGATTTTCCCTTCAGTTCTCGAAATTTTCCTGAAAATCCCTGCGCTTCTGTGAAGTTTTCGAACTTTTTCTGAAATTTCTGGAACTTCCTTAAGCTCCCGCAATTTTCTTGGAATCAAAATGAAATAATTAATATAGGGAAAATGGATGTAATGTCGGCCTAAATGCCTCTAATTTGGGCCCATACAAAAATTCAGCAATCGACTAAATTTTCAATAGCGACCAAAAATATCCATTAGTACCGTCCCAATGACGCGTTCATCTAGATAAAATTGATTAATAGCTAATTTTTAGCGATGGGCCCAATCTTAGATCCATAGGCCAACATTAGAGCCAATTCCCCTAGTTCTAAGATTTCCACTGAGGTTCTCAAGATTTTTCTGAAGTTCGTGGAACTGCCTTTAAATTATCGACACTAATTCATTGCTTCTTCAATAATCTAGACTTTCCTGATGTTATTAAAACTGCCCAAAAAATTTCAGAATTTTCGTAAAGTTCTCTAGACTGCCCTGCATTTCTCAGTATTCTTGATAAGGACCCACAATGTTATTGAATTGCCTTGAAGTTTACACCATTTTCCTTAAGTTTTATAAACTCTCTTAGAGCGAGACCTTTCAATTAGAATCGATTCCTTGGGATGAAGGCAAGAATGACAACTGTATCAAAACCGAATACTTCATCAGTTCTGCTCTGAACAAAACGAAATTCTCGTAAACACCTTTAAACCTCCCTGAAATTCACTGGACTTCTGTGAAGTTTCTGAAATATTTCTAAAGTTTTCATAAATTCTCTAAAGGTCTCTGTACTTCCCTGAAATCCTCGGAACATCGTAAGGGTTCTCGATTTTTTTTCAGCACGTCATGGAAGTATCCGGAATTTTTCCAAACTCACACTTATAAATCTTTAAACTGCTCCAAAACTCTGGACTAAAGTTATGGGAACTGCGCTTAAATTCACTGAAATTCTTCAAAGACCTCTAGATCAAGCTAATCTGAAGTACTTTGAACTTCTTAAAAGTTTCCGGTGACGTTCTCTGAAATTTAAGGATCTCCTTTAAAGTATCTTTAGGAAGATTTAGGAACTGGCTCAGCTTTATCAACATCCTTTTTAGATGTCGAAAAATCGTAGTTTAAGATTGATCCAGTGATGGAAGCACTATTTTCAAAATGCTTTTTACCTATCATGTGACTTTTTAGAGTTTGTTTACCCATATTACTGAGAGAAAACTCACATGTGCATAGCGAACAGTATGCGTAGTTTGGCTTTTTCTCAACTCGCTTAACCCATGTCTTAAATTCTGAATCATTTAGTAAGGTATCTCGAAAATAGGTTGACATGGTCTAAAAGTAAACCCATAATGATTACAGGGACTCAAAATAGGCATGACATAACTGACAATTTAGCTAATTCTGAATACAAGTGCACTTGTACGTTGACACATAGGTTACACTCAAAAAATTCCACACGTTTGATCGAAGTGTTTAAACACTTGATTTTTTAAATGTACAATCACATTTACTTTAAGTGTATTTCACCTTGGTTCAATGTGTTATACACGTTAATTTATAATGTTTCAAATTTTGAAATGTTGAAAATCTCTCACTATCTATTCAAGTGTATTGCACATTGAATCACACTACTGTTCAAAACAGATGGATTTAATGTGTTTTGCATTTCAATGCGATGTGAATTGCTTGCTCAGAAAGGTAAACATTGAAAACAAGAGTTGTGACTTTATCCTATCAAATCAACCCGCCTCATATATGAGAACAACCGTGGCACAGTGAGATCGAATGAAGACTCCAGCAGCAGCACACCCCAACAGTCCATGACCGAATCCCAAATCAGACCCATTCAAAAGATATGTGAAAGCTCTGGCCTCTGGCAGTTTTGTTTATATATTTGTCGATTCATTTTTAGAGTCGGTAAAGTAGAAGTCGGTAAAGCAGAATATTGAACTATTATGTGTTAAGCTATTGATATCACCAAATGAGGCACATAGAATCCAAGTGTGTCACAATTCAAATCCATAGTGTTCAGGCATGATTCATAGCATAAGATTCACACATGAAATGGATGTGTTTCACAATAAGCGCAAAATTAAGTGTGAGACACATGATGATGACGTGTGGAATTTTTTGAGTGTAGGCTCAGATTTGCCAATCACAAAAATAAAGAAAACCCTTAAACTGTTCACACTCATTTTGTTATACTACACATTTAAGTATTTTTCAATTACAATTGCTTAGTTTTAGTCATGAATCAATGTTTACAATGAAGCAGATATTCTTAAGCTAATAACGTACAGTAGACTACAGTGGGCTGCTGATTTAGTGCGGATGCCAAAAGAAAGGATAAGGAAAACAATTACCATAATAGCCATAAAAAATGTTATTGACATTAACGTACCAGGATAGCTGGACAATCAGCATCCTAGATTCTAGATCGATGAAAATGGAAATCTTTTTACGACCATTTCAGATTTGATTATATGAAATTTTACACGAATAGGTAAATAAATTTCGA